CCAAGCTGAAAAATCTTTCTCCCCCCTGGATTTTGTACGAATTTTTCTGTTAGTTTCTAGCATCCAGTGTTGCTACTGAGTTCAATGTCGTTTTGTTTCTTTTTGTTTCAACTTTAATTTTAGATAAGGGGGTACATGTGCATATTTGTTATACAGGAATATTATATGATGCTGAGGTTTAAAGTACAGATCCTGTCACCGTGGTAGTGAGCATATAGTACCCAATAGGTGTTTTCTTTTTAACCCTCCCAACCTCCCTGCACTGTCTAGTAGGCCACAATATCATTGTTCCCATATTAATATCCATGTGTGCTCAATGCTTAGCTCCTTTATAAGCGAGAACATGTGATATTTGGTTTTCTGTTTCTGCATTAACTTGCTTAGAATTATGGCCTCCAGCTCCATGCATGTTGCTGCAAAAACATGATTTCATTCTTTTGTATGACTACCTAGTATTCCATAGTGTATATGTAGCACATTTCTTTATCCAATCTACCATTGATGGGCACTTGGGTTGATTCCATGTCTTTGCTATTGTGAACAGTGCAGTGATGAACATACAAGTGCAAGTGTCATTTTGGTAGAATAATCTTTTGGGTACATACCCAGTAATGGGATTGCTGGGTCCAGTGGTAGATCTGTTTTAAGTTCTTTCAGAAATCTCCAGACTGCTTTCCACAGTGGCTGGACTAATCTACATTTCCACCAACAGTGCATAAGTGTTCGCTTTTCTCTGCTGCGTTGCCAGCCAGCATCTGTTGTTTTTTGACTTTTTAATAGTAGCCATTCTGACTGGTGTCAGAAGGTATCTCATTGTAGTTTTGATTTGCATTTCTCTGATGGTTAGAGATGCTGAGTATTGTTTCATATGTTTGTTGGCCACTTGCATGTCTTTTTTTGTTGTTGTTGAGACGGATTTTCGCTCTTGTTACCCAGGCTGGAGTGCAATGGCGCGATCTTGGCTCACCGCAACCTCCACCTCCCGGGTTCAAGCAGTTCTCCTGCCTCAGCCTCCCAAGTAGCTGGGATTATAGGTATGCACCACCACACCCAGCTAATTTTTGTATTTTTAGCAGAGACGGGGTTTCCCCATGTTGGTCAGGCTGGTCTTGAACTCCCAACCTCAGGTGATCTGCCCACCTCAGCCTTGCAAAGTACTGGGATTACAGGCGTGAGCCACCGTGCTTGACCTTGCATGTCTTCTTTCAAAAAGTGTCTGTTCATGTCATTTGCCCACTTTTCAATGGTGTTGTTTGATATTTAGTTGTTAATTTAATTTCTCTATAGATTCTGAATATTAGGGCTTTGTCAGATACATAGTTTGCAAATATCTTCTCTTATTCTGTCAGTTGTCTGTTTGCTCTGCTGATTGTTTCTTTTGCTGTGCAGAAGCTCTTTAGTTTAATGAGGTCCCACTTGTCTAATTTTGGTTTTGTTGTAATTGTTTTTAGGGTCTTAGCCAAAAATTCTTTGCCAAGGCCAATGTCGAAAAGCGTATTTCCTAGGTTTTTTTCCAGGATTTCTATAGTTTGAGATCTTATATTAAAATCTTTAATCCATTTTTAGTTATTTTTTGCATATGGAGAAAGGTAGGGTTCCAGCTTCAAACTTCTGCATATGGCTAGCCAGTTATCTCAGCACAATTTACTGAATATGGAACTGTTTAGCCATTGCTCATTTTGGTTTGCCTTGTCAAAGATCAGATGGCTGTAGATGTGCAGCTCTATTTCTGAGTTCTCTATTCTGTTTCTTTGGTCTATATATTTGTTTTTGTACCATTACCAAGCTGTTTTTATTTTTTGTTTGTTGTTTGTTTGTTTGTTTGGGTTTGTTTTTTTTTTTTTTTTTTGAGACAGAGTTTCGCTCTTGTTGCCCAGGCTGGAGTACAATGGCGCGATCTCGGCTCACCGCAACCTCCACCTCCTGGGTTCAGGCAATTCTCCTGCCTCAGCCTCCTGAGTAGCTGGAATTACAGGCACGTGCCACCATGCCCAGCTAATGTTTTTGTATTTTTAGTAGAGACGGGGTTTCACCATGTTGACCAGGATGGTCTCGATCTCTTGACCTCGTGATCCACCTGCCTCGTCCTCCCAAAGTGCTGGGATTACAGGCTTGAGCCACTGCACCCGGCCTTGTTTGGTTTTTGAGACTGAGTCTCACTCTGTTACCCAGGCTGGAATGCAATGGCATGATCTTGGCTCACCACAACCTCTGCCCTCTGGGTTCAAGTGATTCTCCTGCCTCAGCCTCCCCAGTAGCTGGAATTACAGGTGCCTGCCACTATGCCTGGCTTATTTTTGTATTTTTTACAAAAGTATTGTATTTTGTATATTTAGAGATGGGTTTTCACTGTGTTGGCTAGCCTGGTCTCAAACTCCTGACCTCAGGTCATCTGCCCACCTCAGCCTCCCAAAGTGCTGGGATTACAGGTGTTAGCCACTGCACCTGGCCACCCAAGCTGTTTTGTTTACTGTGACTTTATAGTATAGTTTGAAGTTGGGTAGTGTGATGCCTCCATCTTTGTTCTTTTTGCTTCTAATTGCTTTGGTTATTTCGGCTCTTTTTTTGGTTCCATATGAATTTTAGAATAGTTTTTTTTTTCTAATTCTGTGAAGAATGCCATTAAGAGTTTGATAGGAATAGCATTGAATCTGTAAATTGCTTTGAGCAGTATGGCCATTTTTATGATATTGATTCTTCCATTCCGTGAACATGGACTGTTTTACAATTTATTTGTGTCATTTCTGATTTTTTTCAGCAGTGTTTTGTAGTTCTCCTTGTAGAGACTTTTCACCTCCTTGGTTTGGTGTATTTTTAGGTATTTCATTTTCTTTGTGGCTATTGTGTGTGGGATTGTGTTCTTTATTTTTATTTTTGTTTAATTTTTCATTTCCATACGTTATTATGGAACAGGTAGTGTTTGGTTACATGAGTAAGTTCCTTAGTGGTGATTTGTGAGATTTTGGGGACTGTGTTCTTGATTTCACTCTCAGTCTGGTTGTTGTTGATGTATAGAAATGGTACTGATTTCTGTACATTAACCTTGTGTCTTGCAACTTTGCTTAAGTTGTTTATCATTTCTAGGAGCCTTTTGGCAGCACCTTTAAAATTTTCTGAGTATGGATTCGTATCATCAAGGAAGAGAGGGAGATTGTGTGACTTCTTTTCATATGTGGATACTTTTTATTTCTTTCTCTTGCCTGATTGCTCTGGCTAGGACTCCCAGTACTATGTTAAATAGGAGTGGTGAGAGGGCATCCTTGTCTTGTTGTGGTTCTCAAGGTGAATGGTTCCCAATTTTGCCCATTTGATATGATGTTTACTGTGGGTTTGTCATAGAAAGCTCTTATTATTTTGACGTATTTTTTTGATGCCTAGTCTGTTGAGGGATTTTTATCATGAAGGAGTATTGGAACTTATCAAAAGCTTTCCATGTGCCTATTGATACTTTGTAAGAGATTTACTTCTTTCCATATATAAATATTTAAGTTCTCTTTCATGTCTGTGGTGTCCTTTAAAATTAATAAGGATGTATACCAGTACAGTTATTTTGAATAATCTAATTTTACATTTGATAAGCCCTTTTAATACAAATATTCATGTTCTTCAGTTTCAGAAAAAAACTTTTTTCTATTTCTTCTATTATTTCTTTAAAATATCCTTTCTCATTATCGGTTTTTTTTTTTTTTTTTTTTTTTTTTTTTTTTTTTTTTTTTTTTTTGAGACAGAGTCTTGCTCTGTTGACCAGGCTGGAGTACAATGGTGTCATCTGGGATTACAGGCACCCGCCCTGATGCCTGGCTAAGTTTTGTATTTTTGTAGAGACGGGGTTTCACCATGTTGGCTAGGCTGGTCTTCAACTCCTAATCTCAGGTGATCTGCCCATCTCAGCCTCCCAAACTGCTGAGATTACAGGCATGAGCCACTGCACCAGGCCTATTCTTTCCCATTTTCTCTGTTCTTTTTTTTCTTTTGACTCCTGTGGGCTATTGGACCTCCTGAATTGATTCTTCATGTCTCTTACTTTTTTTCTCAGTCAACACTGAAACAGTTCCACTATATTTGCTGGAAACTCAGTTTCTCACTCTAAAATAACAATTTCACCCTTCCCTTCTTTCCTCAAGTTTCCTACACTCACTCCTCTTTCTCCTCCTGATCACTATCATCTAATGACTTCAATTCATGACTTAGAAGAAAAAATAGATACAGGAAGTGTATTAAGACACATTACTGGGATTAACACATGCAGAAGAGTAGGGAAGAGAAAGCAGAAGTCTTTGTGACAGAAGCCTCAAGCAACCTTACAAGAAGTTCTGAAGATTAGATAATTGGCCAGAGTGGTCCCCATTTGGGACCAGGGAGCTGGCCCCTGATACCCCAAGTTTTTTAGTCATTTAATGTGGGATGCCTTTGGAAGGGGCTACAACCTTGGGCTAGGTAGCTCTTTTCAGCTGAGGCAATCCCTGAATAAGGCTGACAGCCAAAGACATATCTGGTAGCATTCTCAACATACGGGGTAATAAGTCCTTCATTCCTGAAGGAGGATCTGAAGGGCACTTTACAGTGTCTACCACATCAACTCCCTGAACCTGTCAGTGTTGTGCTGATATTGGCTCAAAGCAGCTAGTGAGGGCCAACTCTGCACTTCCCTTCCCAACTTTGTGTTCAGTGACATTGTGTTGGTAGCTTAAAATAGACTCTTCTGTGGAAGTTTTAAAGTTTCACCAATCTTTTTCAGGTCTAAAAGCTCTCTTTCTTTTTCTCCAGTTGTTCTTAGTTCACAGTATTCTGTTATTGTTTATGTTATAATAATGATTTGAATCTTTCAGTGTGTAACCAATTAGCATTGTTTTTAAAATTCACTATTCTCTGAACTATGTCTATTTCTTTCAAATATTTTTTTCATTTATCATTCAGTCCATATATTATCGCTTCAACTGTTAAAGGACCGGGCACTGTGTTAGATGATGGTGACACAATAGTGAACAAGACACAAAAAGATCCTTTTTCAGTTCATAAGCGTGATGATTGGGTTTTCATGTGCATATGTGAGATGTGCCTCCCTCAAAACTTGTTACATTGGCGCATTTCCTGTCTGACATGAAAGGAAAAAAGACACAAGAGGTTCCTGTTGTGGAGACTTTTTTCTGGTCAGAGAAGAAACTAGTAATTATACAAACAAAAATATTATTTAAAGAAGTTGTCATTGCTATGAATGAATGAAATTCAGTGGATGGAGCATATGGGGGATGTCTGCTTTAAGGAGTGATCCAGGATCCCGTCTCTGCTCTGATAGTACTTAAACAGAGACCTGAATACAATCTGGATAGCGGGCCAGGTAAACAATTGCAGTGGGAGGCAGCCCCAGGGCTGATGGGCTCTGAGAAAAGAGCAAGCACTCTGTGTTCCAGGAACACTAAGAAGGCTAGTGTGGCTGGAGCAAACTGTACAAGGTTAAGTTTGACGAAGCAGGCATGACCCAGATCGTTTTCACTGTTTGTCTTAGTCTCCTTTTGCATGTGGTGACTTGTGTGTTGGGGTTCTACCCAAGAAACAAGAACTAGTAAAATTTGTATATTTATGTGTGTGCTTTACATTTGTGCATTATATACATACATTATATACATGCATGTATAATCTATTGACAGAGTGAGACACACAGAGGCAGAGAAAGAGAGAGGGTGTTTGTGTAGTAGGTAGGTGGTTATTGCAAGAAACTGATTTTCAGGATCATGGAGTGCTGGCTAGGCAAATTTGAAATCTATAAAGCAGGCCAGAAGCCTGGAAATTCTCATGCAGGAGTTGATACTTGATTAATTATAGCCTAGCCAAGTTAACACATAAAAGTAACCATCACAGTGACTTACCTCAAACACTTGGTGATTTTAGCCTGCCTGTTCATACTTAAAGGTGAAATTCAGAAAAACTGATGAGGGAGTTTATAGGAGAGGATTGCCAACAGGAAATCATTCCTTTAGGGTGAGCAAGAGGAGATGTAGAATTTTATAATGGGAAACCCCTAAATACCAGATTGAGAAGCTTTTCCCTCCAGAGGGCTTTCAGTTTCCCCAGAGAAGTCTCCACTCCCTTGCGAGGAGGGGATGTGCTATGTGTGGGTGCTGTTCTTCTATAATGGGCAGATCTGGGGAGGCAGGAAGGACTTTTCCCACATTAGAGTCTTTTAATGAATGTCACTGTTTTTAGGCATGAGCCTCACTCCTACCCTTCACAGCACCTGGTGTCTACAAATCGCAAGGCTTCCCTTTGGTCCGTATTCCTTTCTGTGAACCTATCTCCCACCTCACCCTAAGCTGGTGTTCCCTCAACATTTACTCATTTACTCATGACTTTATCTACTTTTGACCTCTCCAAAATAGTGGAAATAGTGTGTTTTGTCTGCTATTTCAAACTACACAGACTAGTTATTGCATGAAACAGCCTTAAACATTGAGGGGAAGGTAAGGGAGTGTCTTTCTTTGCATCCTGAAGAATCACAGTGGCCTGGGAGGGGTCTGCAATAGCAACAGCCACAGAGCCAGTGACTGAGATATAGCCCAAATGCCATAGACCTCTGGGTTTCAACTGATCCCCAAGACTCATGGATCCATGGCTTGGTCTGAATATCGGTAGTGGTAGTGATACTCTCCTCCAGCCATAAGGATATTTCAAGTTGAAGGTGAAACTCTCCTCCACCTACAAGGGTATTTCAAATCATGCCAAAATATCAGTATTCTGTTAAAATGGAGATATGGTTATTATCTTCTTCCCAATATTATAATGTGCTGTTCCTTTCAGGGGAGGCTCAGATGACTCTGTTCTTTCCTTCTGGCTTGAGTGCCTCCAGATAGGATGATTGAGAATGAAGATTCTGGGTAGAAAAAATTGTCAAAGGAGGGGTAGGCTCTCCTAAGAAAAGAAATCTGGATTGGATAGAAAAGGAGGAAGGAAGCAGAAGGAACCTAAACCAGAAAAAAGGAAGTGGTCAGGTTAAAGGGAAAACATTGGACATTGGGGCTAATAATCTCCCAGCACCTATTCCTCTCCTCTCATCCTCTTCCATTATATGCCTCCATTGTAACGCCCACACCATATTCTAAGTTTACTCCATCAGAGACCTCTGGAAGCAGACTAAGAACACAATCAGACTCTGAGAGAACAGAAAAATGGCTAGGAAACAGAAAAAGATGCTTGATCACACAAGTAACCCAGAACTAGCCATTTCAACAACAATAAGAGGCCTTGGAAAGTTTGTCCTGAGAATACTTTCAAAATGAGTGTATCTCTAGCTTGAAATTTTAATGCAGAATATTCTCTGTGCATATCCCAAGATGAGATTTCAGATAAAAATGACAATGTTCTTAGGAGAAAAAATATTTTATTTAAAAAATATCAGAGTATCAATATTCTGTATTTTGAAAACATGGTATCAACCAATGAATAAATAAAAAATATGGTCTAGCCATACAAGGAAGTATTATTCAGCCTTAAAAAGGAATGAAGCACTGATACTGGCTACAGCAAGGTTAAACCTGTAGAACATGCTAAGAAAAAGAATCCAAATACAAAAGCTACATATTGCAGGATTCCATTTATGTGAAATGTCCAGACTATGTAGATCAATTGAGACATAAAATAGATTAGTGGTTTCCTAGGGCTAGTGGTAATGTGGGGGTTTAGGAAGTGACACGTAAAGGGTACAGGTTTCTTTTGGGGATAATGAGACATTCTAAAATTAGATTGTTATGGTTGTACATCTCCGTGAATATATTAAAACCATTGAATTGGCCGGGTGTAGTAACTCACGCTTGCAATCATAGCACTTTGGGAGGCCAAAGCCGGTGTATCACCTGAGGTGAGGAGTTCGAGACCAGCCTGGCCAACATGGTGAAACCCTGTTTCTACTAAAAATACAAATATTAGCTGGATGTGGTGGCATGCACCTGTAGTCCCAGCTACTCAGGAGGCTGAGACAGGAGAATCACTTGAACTGGGGAGGCAAAGGTTGCAGTGAGCCGAGATTGTGCCACTGCACTCCAGCCTGGGCAACAGAGCAAGACTCCATTTCCCCCACCAAAAAAACTTTAAATGGGAGAATTGTATAGGATGTACATTCTATCTCAGTATATGGTATTCTGGAATATATGGTATTCTAGAATATTGGAATCCTTAAAATTGATATAGTAATTGCTAAGAGGTGAATCTCTTTATGAATTGGGAGACTAGACTTTATAGCTTTATAAGTACTAAGATTCCTTTAAGACAGAGAAAGACTGAGAATTATAGAATTTTGGTCTGGAGTAATGTTATCTTGCTGCAGATCTGCAAAATTATAATTCATTGGTATGGTCGTTTTCCCTTCAGAAATGCTAGGGTTAGAGTCAGTCAACACATAGTCTAGTTCTAGTTATACTTTGGACTATCCAGTGCAAACTTGGGTAACTGAGCTCCTCAAAACCTCGGTTTCCTCACTTGGCAAGTGGGAATAAATAAACTGGATCTTCCTTGTACGTGTGTTGGGAGGATCAAATGAGATGACAGATGAAAAAGTGCTTGCCTACCATTGACTTTCTTCACATAATTAGAAAAAACTACTTTAAATTTCATATGGAACCAGAAAAGAGCTTGCATAGCCAAGACAATCCTAAGCAAAAAGAACAAAGCTGGAGGCATCATGCTACCTGAATTTAAACTATAATACAGGCTACAGTAACCAAAACAGCATGGTATTGGTATCAAAACAGATATATAGACCAATGGAACAGAACAGAAGCCTCAGAAATAACTCCACACATCTACAACCATCTGATCTTTGACAAACCTGACACAAAAACAAGCAGTGGGGAAAGGATTCCCTATTTAATAAATGGTGTTGGGACAACTGGCTAGCCATGTGCAGAAAGCTGAAACTGGACCCCTTCCTTATACCTTATACAAAAATTAACTCATGATGGATTAAGAATTTAAACCTAAAACCTAAAACCATAAAAACCCTAGAAGAAAACCTAGGCAAAACCATTCTGGCCATAGGCATGGGCAAAGACTTCATGATGAAAACACCAAAAGCAATGGCAACAGAAATCAAAATTGACAAGTGGGATCTACTTAAACTAAAGAACTTCTGTACAGTGGAAGAAACTATCATCAGGGTAAACAGGCAACCTACAGAATGTGAGAAAATTTTTGCAATCTACCCATCTGATGAAGGGCTAATATCCAGAATCTACAAGGAACTTAAACAAATTTACAAGAAAAAAACAAACAACCCCATCAAAAAGTGGGCAAAGGATATGAATACACACTTCTCAAAAAAGGACATTTATGTGGCCGACAAACCTATGAGAAAAATCTCATCATCACTGGTCGTTAGAGAAATGCAAATCAAAACCACAATGAGATACCATCTCATACCAGTTAGAATGGTGATCATTAAAAAGTCAGGAAACAACAGATGCTGGAGAGGATGTGGGAAACAGAATTGCTTTTACACTGTTGGTGAAAGTGTAAATTAGTTCAACCATTATGGAAGACAGTGTGATTATTCCTCAAGGATATAGAACTAGAAACACCATTTGACTCAGCAATCTCATTACTGGGTATATACCAAAGGATTGTAAATCATTCTACCATAAAAACACATGCACACATATGTTTATTGCAGCACTATTCACAATAGCAAAGACTTGGAACCAACCCAAATGCCCATCAATGATAGACTGGATAAAAAAAAATGTTGCACATGTACACCATGGAATATTATGCAGCCATAAAAAAGGATGAGTTCATGTCCTTTGAAGGGACATGGATGAATCTGGAAACCATTATTCTCAGCAAACTAACACAGGAACAGAAAACCAAACACTGCATGTTCTCACTCATAAGTGAGAGTTGAACAGTGAGAACACATGGATGCAGGTAGGGGAACATCACACACCAGGGCCTATTAGGGGGTCAGGGGCTAGGGGAGGGATAGCATTAAAAGAAATACCTAATGTAGATGACGGGTTGATAGAGGCAGCAAACCACCATGGCATGTGTACACCTATGTAACAAACCTGCATGTTCTGCACATGCATCCAAGAACTGAAAGTATAATAATAATTT